TTGTGGCACTTCCAAAAAATTCCAGGAATTCCCTGGATCATGAATGTGTCAGAGTTGGAATGGGATGGGATTTAAGCTTCCATCCCGGAATTCCAGGCCTCAAATCCCACGGTTTTGTGGCACTTCCCACAATTCCAGGAATTCCCTGGATATTGGAAGGTGTCAGGATTGGAATTAAACTTCCATCCCAGAATTCCACCCTGAAGATCCCACGGTTTGGTGGCACTTCCCAGAATTCCAGGAATTCCCTGGATGGTGAGGACCCCTGGATGCGCTCCCATTCCCGAGCTGCTCCGCACACGGATCCACCTTTGGGAATCTTTTATTAAACCCCCGCCAGGAATTCCCGGCTCAGATCCGGGGAACTCCACCGCCGGCACTGGCGATCGATCCCGGTGGGATCCGCGTCCGGAATATCGCCGGGAATGCTGAGCTCACCGGCCTTGCGCGGATCCCAAATATTCCTCCAGCAGCATTCCCAGCTCCGAGTTCTGCCGCTGCAGGGTGGTGGCCTCGGAAAAGAGCTCGGATCTCCGGCTCAGGACTTTACTGGGAAAGAGACACCGGGATAACGTGGAAAACCCTCGGGATAACGTGGAAAAATCCCCGGAATTTTCCCCGTCCTCCCCACCCCAGGCACTCACTGGTATTCCAAGAGTGCGGCTCCAAGCGCATCCCAAAGTTTGAGCGTCCGCTCGGGAATGACGCAGGTCAGGGCTTCCCAATATTCCCCGTCCTTGGAATTGTCCCGGATGTCCTGAATTTCCCTGGGGGGTCCTTCATCCCTGCGGATGGAAAAAAAAAATTATTTGGGATGGGGATGGAAAGTTTGGGATGGGGAAGAAACCCTTGGGATGTTGAATGAATCCTTGGGATGTTGAACGAATCCTTGGGATGGAGAAAAAATCTTTGGGATGGAGAACAAATCCCTGGGATGGAGAAAAAACCTTGGGAATAGAGAACAGATCTTTGGGATGGAGAACAAATCTTTGGGATAGAGAAAAAATCCTTTGGGATGGAGAACAAATCCTTTGGATAGAGAAAAAAACCTTGGGATGGAGAACAAATATTTGGGATGGAGAAAAAAACCTTGGGAATAGAGAACAGATCTTTGGGATGGAGAACAAATCCTTGGGATGGAGGGCAAATATTTGGGAAGAGAGAACAAAACCCTGGGATGGAGAACAAATCCTTGGGATGTTGAACGAATCCTTGGGATGGAGAAGAAATCTTTGGGATGGAGAACAAATCTTAGGGATAGTTGGGAATAGGGAACAAATTTTTGGGATGGAGAACAAATCCCTGGGATGTTGAGCGAATCCTTGGGATAGAGAAAAAAATCTGGGATGGAGAAGAAATCCTTTGGATAGAGAACAAATATTAAGGACAGAGAAAAAAACTTGGGGAATGGAGAACAGATCCCTGGGATGGAGAACAAATATTTGGGATGGAGAACAATTCCCTGGGATGTTGAACGAATCCTTGGGATGGAGAACAAGTCTTTGGGATGGAGAAGAAAACCCTTGGGATGGAGAACAAATCGTAGGGATAGAGGAAAAAACTTTGGGAATAGAGAACAGATCTTTGGGATGGAGAATTAATCTTTGGGATGGAGAGGAAAAAACTTTGGGAATAGAGAACAAATCCTTGGGATGGAGAACAAGTGGTTGGGATGGAGAACAAATTTTTGGGATG